GAGCACTGGGGGGTTATGGTGATGGAATCCTCCAACCTGGTGCATTCGGCATTTCGCTCATGCCAGGGTACCACTGAATGCCAAATGTGTGTGTGCTGGAGGGAAACCAGGAGCTGCTTCCTGGGGCACCATCCCTTCAGTCCCTGTGTGATGCATGAAAAGCATCTTGCAATTATACGATGAGACTGCGTATACACTCCCCCACTCGTGTTTATTTTTTGCCACCAGACAGGTTGCTTACTGGAAAATGAAGGCCATTCCTCTAGATGGCTTATCCTTCCTTCCCCCTTTTCAGGACATTTTGCTGATCTGCTTTGGTATCTTCTCTGGAAGGACGCTCCTTGGAATCTGAGGAAGTGTGCATTGCCGAAATTGAACTTATGAGGCATATTTCCCTGGAAAAGCGGAGGCCTGTGTAAAGAGGACCCTGGCAGCTGGCTGTCAGAGTGGCAGGGAGAGGAAAGGAAAAAAATCAAAGAAGAGGGGTAGAGGCTTTGGCAAGAGGGAACTCCTGGACGTGGGGCCGGAAGAGGAAAAGGATGGGGTGAGTAGTACCAAGTGCTGCTCCTCCGTGCATGGGATCTACGGGAGAGGGCTGACGGGATGCCGCACGGTCTGGTGGAATAACCACAGAGTGTTTACTGAGCTGCCAAACTGCCTGGCAGCAGTCCCTCTGGCCATCCAATGAGCTTCCCAGCAGCACAAATCAGAACGTCAATAAGACACCACCAGTTCCCAAATCTATCTCATTGCACATAAACCAAAAGCTTCAACACAATCAATAATGTGTTACTGAATTACACTCAGAATTCTGTTGTTGCAACACCCAATGAGAAAGTACATCCAAAAGGCATCTGAGCTAATGAGTGAAGTCCAAACTGTTTCAATGAAATGAGGTGACCAGTACCTAATGCTGGGAGAGCAATATCTGAAAGACAGACAGCATGTGAGGGAAATTAAGAGAAATTAAGTGAAAACAAGAGAGAGAGAGAGAGAGAGAGAGAGAGAGAGAGAGAGAGAGAGAGAGAGAGAGAGAGAGAGAGAGAGAGAGAGAGAGAGAGAGAGAGAGAGAGAGAGAGAGAGAGAGAGAGAGAGGGAGAGAGGGAGAGAGACTGTAGTCGATATGCTTTTCAAAAAAATGGGATGCTTTAATACCAGATTCTCTACACCCATCATGAAACATCTGTATTACCTCTGAGTCTGTGTTAATTTCCTCAACTTCGTTTTTGATGGATGGAGACTAGAATTTCTAAAGCGACTGCTGATTCAGGCTTGCACCTCTACCTACCTTATCAATGCCCTCAAGGACATCCATGAGGTTAATTCCAAATTCACTAACCACTATTTTGGTAATAGATGGACATTTTTAGACCTAAGGGAACTATCAAGCCCAGCCTTTCAAATAGTTTTGGGGGGAAAAAATTGATCAGTTTCTCAAAATCTGTTTAGCTGAACGAATTGCCACTGATCCATGTGTATATAAACACCCCCACTCTACTTTTCTATCATCTGCCCCTTTCCCCTTTATTGCTCTCATGTTAGTAGATTAAAAGATCAGAAGTGCCAGCTTTTAGCAAATAGATTCATCTTTAGTCACAGACAGATTTCTATGAGAATGAACACAAAGTTATTAGAGGAGAGAGTTAAGTACATTACACATATTTTAAGCTTACTGTCTGATTTCTGTTAGGCATGCCCTGGTTTCTTTTAAGCACTGGGAACACGCTCATTTTCCAGTGTATATGGGGGATCTTATGCATCTAGAGTGCCATTTAGAGGATTACTAATTTACTAAATGGTACCCCAGTGCCCTGAAAGAGTTAATTCTCTTCCAAGAGATAAGCAATTTATTTTCTATTTAACAGCAGGATAAGGCCCACTGCTTACAAATGACTATGAGCCCCTTAGATGGGGTTAGAGGGGTAAGGAGAGAGCTATATAAAAACAGGGTATAATAATTATAATTTGTAATATAATGTCAATCCATGATGTTATTTTTATACGCACCTTTACCTAACATTTGTCCAGAAAGAGCAGATCAACATTGTGAGAGTCCTGTCACTTTTTGCGTATAACTTTGAAAGCTGGTTGTCAAGAGAACTGCCAAATTGTCTGGTAAAACAGTCCATTTAGCCATTCAATCAACAAATGTTTTTCAAACACCATAAGTAAACAGAAATCAACTCACCTCCCAGAGCTTCCAACTTTGCCAGGGTGAAAATGCTTCATGAGCAAACACCTAGCCAGAGGTAGTAATATCGGCCAGTAGAACGATCATGAGAGTGCTGTTCAGAGGAGAGAGACATTACCCACACAGGGCAGCTGTCACTGGCCTTCGGCACCTGGCTTCAGATTCCAGCTCTTCCACTTGCTAGCTGTATATTTTCGATCAAGTTTTACTTAATCTCTTTGAGTTTTAGGGTCTTTAAAAACCAATGACTTGAAATGTGGGGAGACTTAAGCAAAGTTTTATCTGCAGAAATACTAAACGGATGTGCCCTGTAAACACAAGCATGTGTGCTTTGTATAGCAAAAGGAAGTGATGGCAGGCAGCGTCATCTTGCTCTTCATGATTCACACCGTTTCCTCTCCTAACAGGACACCAGGTCTGATTCCCACTGATGGGGGCCTGGGTAGCACCACAAAGAAGTGACAGTTCTCAGTGAAGATACATCACCGGAACCTGAAGAAGGAAGGGTGGGTGGTGTTCTAAAGATGAGCACGAGAAAAAAGAAGTTCTATCAGCGAATCTAGACAGGTCACCTAAAAGAAGGCAAAAGTGAAGGAGAAATTACAAGAGGAGGAAGACATCTGCGTTCATTTGCTAGGGCTTCCATAATAAAGGACCATGGACTGAGGGGCTCAATGATAAAGTGAATTTGTATTATAGAATCTCCCTGTCCCAATTTAAATATATAAAAGCCTAACTGACTGTCCCGACTGTTTGACTGTCCATTTGGTAGCTATGGAACATATTGACCACCATGGGGCAGACATTCAATCCAAGAGCTACTGAGCTGTGGTGACTTGGCAGCTGCAGTTCTCTCGGGTGACACACCTGAAACCAGAGAGGAGGGAGCTCGATTCCAGGGTGTGTCACCCAGGAACTGCCCTCTCACAATCCGGGACCCCTCAGGGGATGTTGGAGAGCCAGTTTCGGCCTGATCCCTGCTGGCCAGGCTGAGGGACCCCACCAGTGCACAAATCCATGCACCAGGCCTCTCATATCTAATAAAAGAAATAAGTAGTGAAAAATCAGCAAGATGTTTACCAGCAAGAGTCAAACAAAGAAAATGGTATAATTTAAAGTGATGAACTTAAAAAAAAAAATCAGTTGGAAAAGAGGGGAAAATATTTTGATGTGCCTATATGCTGCTTTCAACTGTACCCTGAACTGAACAATTGGTAGGAAAAAAAATAGAGAAAACATATATAATTTCCCCAAATATCTCACAACTTAGAGAGAAACAAACTGAAGGTGGGTTGAGTCAGGAAAGTAATTTCAGGAACAGAAGCCCTCTACCTATCACTATTAAACCTCAGAGTTTTATCAGTGACATAGACTAGAAAATCTGTCTGGGTTCAACATTTTAGAAGAAGGTCTAGAGGGTAGTAAGATACATTACCAACTAGGTGAAGTCAAGCCTGGTAAAGAACATTTGAGAAAGTCTCAGGACAAGGAATGGCATCCTTTGTTCTCTAAGACAAAACACACAGGGTATATACAACAGATAGTACACATGAAACTTGTGAAAGGAAAGATGGGTCTCAGATTAAGTAGAATTTTCCTAACATCTATTAGTGCAAAGATAAGATCTCCTTAGGGCTTCTCATGATAAACAGGAATAAGACCAATGAATAAACAATTTTTTTTAATATGAAGGGACCTCTACATTCAATAATGGCAAACACCCTTCCATTGGAAACAACTTTATATGCTGTGTAAAATAAAAAACACTTTAAAACATTGAGGACCTAATGAGATATCAAGGAGCTGGACAAACTAAAGGGACTACCAGAACTGTGAAAAGTAAGAGAACAGGAGAGACACCCTTTATCCCACAGTCATGAGGATATTTGCCTAACCTGCAAATGTGGATTTTGGTTTTGACAGCCTTGCTGCATGTGAGGTGGAACAGTTATCAATATGCTTAGAGCCCATCCAGGCTAATAAATCTAGCAAGAGACCTCCCCACATTAAGCCAGGATCTCAAAAGATTACATGTTAAGAATAAGAAAAAGGATATTTAAAAAAGAAGACATGCAAAAGAGAGGCGAAAAACCCATCTGGAAGAAAATACAACCTCCCTCCCAAAAAATAATGTCATAAAAAAGAGACTGTGGAGCTTAGGAGGCAAATTGAGGATCAAAATATCATTATATAACTAATAAGTAACTTAGCCCAGGTAGGAAAGAATAGACATGACTGAAAATAGAATTAGTGGCATAGGGGAAAGCCATGAAATAATCTTAGTGAATGAAAAGAAAAAGAGAAAAAAATAAGAAAGATAATAGGGAAAGAATAACCAATGTCCCTGGATATGGACTGTTACAGATGGGAGGAAAAAAACAGATATATAAAAAATAATATGTGCCTTAAAAGATGAAGAAATAGATATACCAACCAAAGGGCACAGTATATTCTAGGAAAAACTGATACAAATTAGTTGATGCTGCGTATATCTTGGTTTAGTTGCAGAGTTTAAAATATAATGAAGTTCATTAGTTATTCAAGTACAAAAATTAAGTTTTCTATAAACAGAAAAATTAGGTAAGCCTCCTTCTACTCCATAACACTCAATCCCAGAATACAAGAAAGCAGTATTTACAAAGTTCTAAAGAAAATGGAATGCTCTGTAGAATATCATATTCAGTCAAGTTGATGTTCAGATATAATCACAACAGTGAGGGAGTCTCAAACATGAAGGAACTCAGAATATGGAATCCATGATCCCATATACCAATCAAACAAAATATAAACAACAACTTTGTGGTTAAAGGACAGTACTCAGGGCCAGAGTACAATGAACAAAGGTCTACAAATTTCTGACGAAAAAAAGTATAACCTGAAAATTTTATAGCCAGCTAAAGTATCCTTTCAATTATCCATTTTTCTTTTTTGTGGGGTGTTTGTTTGTTTGTTTGTGCCTTCACACTGCACCAGGAGTATAAAGGCAATAGACATCTTCAAGCATGCACAAACATATACTAAGACATCTAAAAACCTTTTATAAGTTTACAAATAAAGATATTCAACTAAAAGAGAAATCCAAATTTAAAAACACAAGAATGGGGCACATGTTCTACAAATTTGAGTTGAGCACTGAATTGTTAATCAAATATAGAAGTATAAAGATATGAAAATGTAAATGCAGTATTTATAATTTCAAAACAAGATGACAAATGTTACAAACTATATCAAAGTAAAGCAATGACCAACAAATATTAGGTATGCAAAGAAAATTGAGTAGCTGTGTGTTAATTTTCCTCATATTTTAAGCAGGGAGTCAACCAATGTAATATAAAAACATGAAGTTAAAAAAGAGTAATGGATCTAAACAAAAAGTTTCCTAATCTTTTTTCCCCATAAATCATAGATACATCATTTAAGAAATGTATTCTAATAAAAAATACATTATTTTCTAAGAATCAGAATACCCTCAGTTTCACGTATATACATTTTGGGTTAAATTTTCATATAACAAAGTTGAGTCACATTACATTTAATACTTCTTACCTTTTTCATACATAATTCCTTTATTTAAAATTCAGTTTTGTTTTGTTTTTTGTCTCCTTGGGACTTTCATTCTCTTTCTTTGTTTCTGCCTCTTTCTTTCCCTTCGCTCTTTTCTTTTATATACACATATTAAACGAATGCTTGGGAACATAGTCACAAACTATGAAAGATGACAATTTTTGAGAGGTGAGTATTTAGTGAAATTCTGCTTCCTTCTTTGTAGTTTATTGTTCTTAATATTATAAAGTTAACATGTACATTTTCTTTTATAAAAATAAGTGATTCTATACAAGAATATATATAAAGGCTTCTAACATTTTTTTGTGAATATGATTGTGATTTTCAACAATAAAAAAGGAAAATATATGCTGAAAGATGCTAAGAGGCCAGAATAGAAACTTGAGGCATAAAGAAAAGGGAAGGAAATTATAATGGAAGCATCACATCATCTTTTTTTTTTTAATAAAAATATTTTTGCCTATGGTTTAAAATGAAAGAAGCTGTCATTTAGCCTTACTACATTGTTTATTCTATTTTCTTTAGTAGATCTAGCCTCTTAGGAAGCTGATGATTCTTTTCTCTTAATGGTACCAGATCCCTAATTCTGGCTCTCTCAGATATTTTCAAAGTTTTCTGAGTATTTCAAAGGAGGACTCACCAATGACTGCATACATTTGCAGATTAACAGCTTCTGCCATTAGCAAATTGAAAATTCTTTCTCATATCCCTCTTATAATAGGAGTCTCTTTCTCTTAATAGTACTTGATTCCAATTTGTGCATCTTCCTTATTAATGCATTCTATAAAGCGTTTCTATTTTTCTTGGCTACTTCAGCCTTCTGTTGAGTTTCATGGGTATTAAATGGATCGGCTTATCTGAGAGAACAAAGCAAAGACTCGCCCTTCAACTAATGGAAACACTGATCCTTAATACAGAGGCCAGACATTGGTAGACAACAGCACATGTCATAGTCTCGTGAGGTCACAGAATGGATACCTGGATGTAATATTGCCACAGTGGGTGAGATGAGACCAGGAGAGAGTCCACAACTTTTAACTTATGGAACTAACATGGGGATCCTCCAGAATGTGACCCAAATTTTCAATATAAGTATTTTAGTCCACCAAGGATATACTAGACCTTGCTAGATAGGAGACAAATCAGAACCATCACAAAATACTTAAGACCAAAGGGCTAGCTAGTTGTCAAGAACCCCTACTAGGCAATTCCTTTAGACTACTTGTTATTTGAATTGAGTTAGTTATGCACCAAGTAATAAAAAATCCCCCAACTCAGTATTTTGCAAAATCTGTGGGTTCTTTTATGTCCATGACATCTAGTCACTGCATTCAATAGCCTGTTAATAATAAGCAGCATGCACATATCTAATTACAAAACAAATATATAGAGGCATTCTTATTCAAGGAAGCACCACTACTTTTGCTATTAATGAACAATTAACATAGTTGACAGAATGAGCCAAATGCAGTCTGGATATTTTAAGCATTTTCTATATAAATTATGATTCATAAAATGGCAATTAAATACTAATCTATATCTTATATGGAAGAGCTTTTTATATTGTAGGAGAGAATGTTTCATATGACAAATCCAACACTTTCATTTTGAAAGTCCAACTACCTGGTTGAAAAACACCAAAGCTTTCATTTAAGTTGCCATGGGGCAGACAGAGCTATGTGCAATTTCAGAAGCATTTGGAGAGATGGGGTATGCACACTGTATTTAATTTTCAAAACACGGTGAGTAGAGCAAGTTCAAAACTACACAAAAGGCTCAGACTTCCTGGGATAAACCCGTGGGATTCTGGGTTGGTGTAAGCGGTAGAAAAAGAAAACTGAAGATTACAAAATTCAGTCACATTTCAAAATTTTCTGCTACAATAATTCACTTTATGTAGAATTAATGTGTCTGATTGAACGTTTGTGCTGTAATTTACTTATAATTAACATTTTATGGTGAACAGATTTCACCATCTCCTTCATGCTGTGAACTCTAAGCCATAGGTCAAAAATAGAGATGAAACAGAGAAGAACAAAATATCCTCACTGAAATATTAATGCGATTTTAATTTACTGCGTTAAAAACACATCTTTCATCAATGTCTGTATATAAAAATCACCATTTTGTTCTAATTGTTTAATCACATTAAAAATATAATGAACTCTTCTTGCTGGCAGAAGGACACTAAAAAGTCTAAGGCACACAGGAAATCCCAGCTAAGTCAAACATGTTTCCAACTTCTGGTGTTGGAAATGTCATATGAAGAGGCAGCAGTTGAATCCAACATTTCTAAGAATCTATTCTCAATTGAATTTATTTCAATTAACCATTGTTTGGTATCCATTACAGTACTGAGCCCTATCCAAATTCTTGATCTATAGAATCCATGAGCACAATCAAATCGTTGTCTTACATAATTGCATTTTGGGATGGCTTGTAAGACAACAATAGAATCCTGGAACATCCTAGGAGACTATGATATGCTACCATGCCTTTGCTGCTATCTCAGATATCTGCTACTTTTATTTTAGAGAGAAAAACGCTTACTCAACCAGAATATTTTTTTACAGATGACACGAAGACTGGGGGTTCTTTGAAGCAAACTCAGCAGACTTAATAAAACTAGTAGGAGTTTGGAACCTGATAGCAATCCAAAGGGAATAAATACCTTATGAGGATTTCATATATGTTATTTGAATTCCTGAAAACAGTAATGGGACCATTAGACCTAACACATTCAGCAGTTTCTCCAGAAATTTTACTCAGGTTAGTTACCAATTACTCTTCCTCTTCAGTCTCACAGCCAAATTTCTCAAAAGAGCAATTTACACATTTCTCAATTCCTTCTCTTCCTACTCATTCCTCATCCCACTCAAAGCTTCACAATTACTGCTTCCTTTCCCAAGGAATGTCACTCCCTCCACCAAAAGGGAGGGTTGTGCCCGAGAAGTGACTACAATCACAGGAGAAAGGATATATCTGGTTTGCATAAGTAACATCCTATCCTTTCAGCCACAAATCTTCGATGATGTTATGCAAATATTCAAGTCTTTTCTATCATTTATGATAACGATGTTGGAGAAGATAGGATATAAAGCATAAGGTAGTTAAAACACACTGACACTGACACACACACACACACACACACACACACACACACAAAACAAAACAAAACAAAAACCTGCTATAAGAAAACTAACCTGGGCCTTAGACCTTTATGCCCAGAACATGCCCCTTATTTTTTTTTAATGGTTTTCAAACAGTTGCTTATCATAAATTCCAACCTGACTGTCTTTTTTAAACCATTATGCATTGCTTGGTGTCCATCACAGATGGGGTAGTTCATAAAATTACAGCATGGCCTCGCGACAGGAAACAAGATCCACAAGGTCTGGCTTTTGTATCAGCTAACATTTGCTTTGGGGACAGAGGTGAGTGCATTAGGCTACAAAAACAGTACCTCTGAGATGAGAAGCCCAAACACTTCCCAGAAAACCTGGCAATTGTACTCTTAGGGGAGAATTTCTCAGGAGAATGGAAAATGTAAATCTTCCAATTCATTCACGCACCAAAGGAACATGCCAGTGAGCGGGTAGAAAATACTGACTGAGGCGGCAATGTAAGTGCACACACGTGATGGCTGTACGCAGTGATTCTTCCCGCTCCATATTTGTTGCCCAGATCAACTCAACCACATTCCATGGAAAGAAAGGTGTCTCTGAAGAGAGACCTAGGACAAGAGAGACCTAGGACGTCCATGAAGAAGCCAGTATAACCTGGCAATTCAAAGAAGACATTTCATTTCCTTTCCTTTCAAACAAGCTCCAACCCATTCAAAGGACTTATTAGAATTTCAAATGAAAAACTGAATATGATGAGCATTGTAAATCAGCTGTAAACAGCTTTTAAAACTGTGTCAGGAGAAAATACACATGTAAATTTTTTTTTTTTAATGTTGCATTTCGTCCTCCAATGTTTGTTGGTTAAGAAGCAGGTACCAATTCATTTTTACAGAGGGGACCTGGTTGACCTGAGAGACATGAGGGGGTCAGTTGGAGAAATCCTTTGACCTGGGTTGGCAGGGGCTCCCGGGTGGTAGGCGCTCCTTCATGAACCACAATGCACTGCTTCCTTTTTATTCTCCAAGTTTCTCATAAACTGAAGTAAGAGCATCACTTACCTGGACAAAACTGCTAGTCAGACTCCTCCAGCCCAGGAAACCGAACTGCTGTCTACGAATAGTCCAGACGACA